AGCCTTATTTTACCAGCGGTAACACGCACGGCCCCGTGAAGATTTTTTACGAGTAAGTTAATATCTCGGGAACCACGGAGTCTAGGAGGCTGAGATTTTAGGGTAATGACCCCTTGCCCACGCTCAACCTTGCCCATTCAAATTCAGCGTTCTCGCGCTCTCGGGTACCACCTACGGGCTCGTGGAAATTTCAGCGGGCAAATATTAACTCGGGGATCACGGAAAGATATTCATCCTTCAAGGTTTCGAATTCAGCTTTCATGCGCTGGTGCGTGAAATTTAACTGTTTTCCAATGTTTGTATTTTAATGGACTAAAGGACAAAGCAGTGAAAATCATTAATAGACAATTTTTCGATGGGCTGAATTGCACAAAACGCATGATCGCACCGGCTAGTCTGGTGTGCGTTGCTAATTATATTTTTTTTCTAACGAAGAAAATAATAAAAACCAAAAGTACCGCAAAACCGGTCGCAAGAAGATGCAATTTTGATAAATAAACAAAACGAGCGTTGTCAGCAGCAGACAAATGGACGATAGATCATTGAAAGCAACAAAAAAAATCGCTTATAGAAGCGTGCAGGAACAACGCTCAAAGATAAATATATCAGGTAAAAGCGGAACGAAAAGACACTGTGCTGTATTTTGGCCGTTTGAGCTTGAGTGACGTAAGTCCAGTGGTCTTAAAACCCCAATGCACATATTTACGGTCAGGCTCGCACAAGGCAGATGCATAGCAGTGTCAGCAGAAAACGAGCCTGCAGGTCTTTTAGAGCATAACTGATCGGGTTGCCAAAACAATCAGGCGGCTGACATGGAACGATTCCGACCCCTCCACTTATCTAAAACTGTTAATTTTTTTTTTTTTGCTGCTGCTGCTACTACTACTACTGTTGCAAAAGGAGGAAGGAGCGAGTAACAAGGAAGCGAAGCTGGAGACTCAACCCCCCTTCGCCTTGCCCAGTTGCCTTCGGTTTCCTGCAATATGCAAATGTCCCGTCTCCTGGCTCGACTTACCCCCTCCATGGTATTTCATGTGATGAATGGAAATGAAATAATTATTGTAATTGTATTCTTCCGCGTAATTTGGAAGTGTGCGGCGACAGCTTGGAGCTGCTCCCGAGCTGGTCCTGGGTTTGTTCCGTACTTTTTTAATATTTTTTTTTTGTGATTGTATTAATAAAGAAGTGGGCCTTCTTACTTGGTGTTGCCCAACTGCCGGAGA